AAAGGTCACCAAGAATGCAGTGTGTTGAAAGGTCACCAAGAATGCAGTGTGTTGAAAGGTCACCAAGAATGCAGTGTGTTGGGGTCCCAGGACCTACTCTCATGTTGCTTTTTAAAATAAATCTGTTATCGGAGTTGAGAACCAACAGAATCATGAAATCCGAGTGATATAAGATATCAGCTGAGCTCTGCTTAGCCTGATTCAACACCCTCATTGGACAAACGAGGGCACCAAGATGCCGAGGGGCCCTGGTTTTCCAGCCAGCAGTGCTGAGCCCAGCCCTGGCCCTGGACTTCCCTCCACCATGTTGCCTCCCGAGGGAGCCTGGGCACTGGCTACTACAGGACCTTCCTCTCTTCCTGCAGCAGCTGACTAGTTAGGGTATGCCTCAGAAAGAAACAGATCCTACTAGAAGAACAGCTAAACCAATATCTCCATCCATCCTAAGAACCAGAAGTAGTTGCCACGGAGCTGACTCCGGCTCAGGCAAGCCCAGGTGTGTAAGAGCAGTGCTATATTTCATCGGTGTTTCAATGGGTGAGTTTCCAGAAGTAGACAGTGAGTCTTTCTTCTCAGGTACGTCTGGATGGACTCAGGCTGCTGGCTTTTCAGTTAGCAGCCGAGCACCACCTACCCCACTGCTGGTGAGACTCTCCTGACTGAGAGCAACCCTGCTGGGCAGAGGAGACTGTGAGTCTTTCTGGGAGCAGACAGCCTCATCTTTCTCCTGCCCAGTGTCGAACTCACTGCACCCCAGGGTTCCTTCTGTACCACTGAGGGACTCCAAACAGTGGGTGTGGGTGACACTGAGGCGGGTACTGCAGGCTGGGTGCACGCTGGCACCGCAGACACTGAGGACAAACTCGCTTGGGATGATGAACAAAAAAGGCAGCTCTACAGAACACAGCTCGGGCATCTCCTTCAGTGTGAGCCTGCTGGTGGGCAGCAGGTCATACCTGCATATCATCAGGTCTACAGACACACCTGCCTAGAGTTCACCTGCCTAGCCTCTCAGACCACAAGGTCTTGGTCTCCTGGCTGGTGTCTCCTGTGTCTAAAGTGTACTGTCTTGTGCTGACCACTCACTACCTGCATGAGCTCTATGTGCTAGCTCCTCCCAGTATTCCTTCACTAACACCTCACATACCCTCCATCACCTCCAAGTGTCACAGACTAAACCAAGTTGTCATTGAGAGTCGACACATTGTGGTTGTTAAGTGCTGTTGAGTTAGTTCTGACTCACAGCGACTATGTATAGGATTTCTGAGGCGTGGCTGGTGGGTTTGAACCGCTGACCTTGTGGTTAGCAGTCCAGTGCTGTTCCTACAGCTCCACCACCCATTAGGAAACAGTGGGGAATGGCTCTTACTGTGACGTTTCTTGGTGTTCCCTTTGGCTTCCTCCTTGGTCACCCCCAGACAGCCCATTAATTCCTGGATGGTGATGGACTTGTCATTATTCACGTCGCAGTACTCAACAAACTTCTTCACGCACTTTTTGGGTTTTGATTTTTTCCGCAGGAGCCTCTTGAAGGGCTTAATTTCTTTTTTGCCAATATCGCCGCTGGAATTTTTGTCGAGCAGTTTGAAATACCAGTGGACCACTCTCTCTTCCAGGGTGTGACTGGGGTCAGGTTCTGAAAGCCTGCGAGGAGACACAGATGCGTCAGGAACCCGTAACCAGGGGGCTACGTGGCTCAGCCCACCACCCACCCACCAGATCTGCTCCCTGGTCCCTTCTGCCACTGAAGGAAGGAGCAGTCCTGCGTGTGACGTGTATGTTCCCCTGTCCCAAACCACGCGGATGCACCAGTTTACGCAATCATTAAAAAAATAATAATTTAGAGAAAGTGGTTTAGCAACTACACTTCAAGTTGGTTTTCAAAACTACCACAGACACATCGAATTTCTGCATGCGACTTGTGCACCTGGTGCAGGCTGAGGTCTTCCAGCAGACAGACACACCCCACTTCTGAAAGTTCTAACCCCTCAGTGTAAGTACTGCAAATATGAGGGGCTTCTGAAAGTGTGGGGGGAAATGGAATTAAGAAAGAATGGCCTTTTTCCATGCACTTTTTGAAGCCCCCTTGTATGACTTTGGTCACAGGATATTGAGAGACTTAAGTAAAACGTATGCTGGGATTGAAACATTCTGGATACTTGGGAGAAATTCCCCAATGAGATCCTTCCATTCTAGAAAGGCTGACTTGAGTCAGTAGCAGACAGACGGTAAGATACAGCTGTGGCCACAGGGAAGACAAAGGACTGGGTGCTCAGATGTTGGGTACCCTCGCTTGGTTAGCTGCTAGACGCCCGACTCTTGCTGGATTGGAGGAGGCCTGCTTTTCCGGGCGTGTGAGAACTGTTTCTATGGATTTGGCCGTGGCCCCATACAAGAGGGAATGGAACTGCATCATCCCTGTGATCAGCTGTGGACCACACCTTTGTGATCCCTGGGGTTCTCACAGGCTGACTTTCAGAAGTCGGTCACGAGACCTTGTTTGGTAATCCACCTTAGTCTGAAAGTTAGGCAGAAACCTGGTCAGCATCAGAGCCATGAGCAACCCTCCACTGCCAGACGGCAGCGGCTGTGTGAGGTGTGCCCACTGGGAATAAACCCGGGACCCCTGAGCCCTAAAGGGAACTCACTCTGAAGGGCGTTCTTCACGTGACCATTTGTTACCCCTCTCAATTTTAATGTTTTGGATAAGAGCAATCTTTTTCAGATTTTGAGATGAATGTTTACAATTTGGGTGATTTCTGGCTTTGTTAAATTTAATATGAGTACCCAGTTATGAGATTTCTGATTTGTATTGCTTCATTTACTTACTTTCTTCCCAGCTCTCACATTAAAGTAAAGGGTTGGAGGAGGGCCTGTTGCTATGGAGACCAGCAAACCTGAGGAGATCACAGAGTGTAGGAGGGGGAGGAGGGCGCCCAATAGTCATGGAAATAAAAAGGAAGTAGGAATCTTCATCAGAAAAACATTTTAAATAAAGAAAGGGATTACTACTACTTCTCAGGGGGAGATCTAAAGCTTGAAAGTTTGTAGAATGAAGCACCCTGGGAGTTATACTGACAGTTATCTATAGACAGGAGAGAGGAGTTCTGAGGAATTTACACAAGTCTATGTCTTTGAATTATGGTGTTGGCAAAGAATATTGCATGGAATGTGGACTGCCAGAAAAATGAACAAATCGGTGTTGGAAGAAGTGCAGCCTGAGCGTTCCTTAGAAGCCAGCATGGTCAGACTTCATCTCTTCTACTTCACACATGGTATCAGGAGGGATCAGTCCCTGGAGAAGGACATCATGCTGGGTAAAATGGGGGGGTCAGTGAAAATGAGGGAGACTTCAACGAGATGGGTTGACAGAGTGGCAGCAGTAATGGGCTCAAATATAAAAACAATGGTGAGGAAAGAGGAAGACTGGGCAGGGTTTCCTTATGTTGTCCACGGGGTCACCGCGAGGTGTCCACGGGGTCACCGTGAGGTGTACGGGGTCACCGCGAGGTGTCCACGGGATCACCGCGAGGTGTACGGGGTCACCGTGAGATGTGTACGGGGTCACCGTGAGGTGTCCACGGGGTCACCGCGAGGTGTCCACGGGGTCACTGTGAGGTGTACGGGGTCACTGTGAGATGTACACGGGGTCACTACGAGTTGTAACTGAGTGGACACCATCTAACAAGACTACCCCATGGCAGATCCAATGCCTCAGACCCAGAAGTGCAGATATGTCACCATTTCCTCTAAGAAAGGATGTTTCTGAAGTTGGTTTTTACTTTTTTTCAGTCTTATTTTGAGAACTTTAAACTGAATACTCTAAATAAAAATCCAGTTGATTGCTCTAAAATGCAATTCCACAGGCAAAGCCCAAGAACTGAATGCTTAATTGTCCTATCATTTGCTCCCTCCCACAGGGCCACCTGCTGATGGAAAGAACATGTTCATGGTCCCCTCTGCCATGACAGGGTCCCATCAAGAGAATGACCTCCACCTGGTGAAGCTACTTCAAGTGTTCGGCGAGGACTCCTTAATGAAGAAGTCACCTGAGGTCCTGATAATTAGAGGTGAGACTCAGAGTCCCTGAGGTCCCAGGCTCCCTCTCAGGGCCCTCTTAGGGGGCAGGGTCACCATACCTGCTGGAAGATGAGGACGGGTCAGACACAGCATGGACCATGTCCGTCGACAGTGCATCTAGGACACTGGTGAGGAATTCGTGCTTCTTGGCACCGGGACATCCTGAAACAAAACAAGTGCATGTTTCTGTTTTTCACATTGCAGAAAACACGCCGCATAACAGGTTTGGTCTCTGTTCTGGAAAGAAGTGTTTCCATTTATGGAAACTGGTGTGTTGAGGTACCTTCGTATTAATGAGTTCATCCGAACACTTGCACCCACATTACCACGCTCTGATTTTGAACCAGACATGTGGATTGGTGATAACAGTAGCTGGAATTTGCTGGATTATTACATCATTGTTACCTTCCAGATCCCCCCAGCGGTTCCCTCAGGAACATAAGGTCTCTATACCCTAGTATTACATGTGGCAACACCATCTGTTGTAATGTGGTGACTTGCATGTCAGTTGCTGTGATGATGTAAGTATGATATTGGAAATGCCAATGGTATTTCATATACCAGCAGGGCCACTAACAGGTCTCCGCAGAGTTTTCCGACTAAGACAGACTAGGAAGGTGGGACTGGCAATTCACTTCGGAAAGCCAGGAGTCAAACCCTAAGATTCACACAGAATATTGTCTGTCACAGAGCCTGAAGATGAGCCACCAGGTTGGGGCAACAATGGGCTTGAGCAGATCAGAAGGCACATGACTGGCTGGCGTTTCATTCTGTAGTATGTGGGGTCACCATGAGTGGGAATCACCTTGGGGGCAACTCTAGCAACATTACATGCGAGGCCCCAGGTACTTGGAAGCACGCACAAACATGCCAGAGCTGTCCTGGGAGAGAAGGGCAGTGCTGAAGTCACCGTTGTAGGGCACTTGAGTGTGAACCTGTGTCACCTCACAGCCATGCACCACTCTGAGCCATCTCTTCAGGATTATTCTATACCTAGACACCAGGGTCAGACACATCTCAGAAGGATGCAGTCATCTGGGACTGCAGGGCTGAAAACGCATGCATCCGTCCTGACTGAGTCCTGAATCCATTCAGTGAATTCTTCTATAAAGCTTACCACTCTCCAGCATCACTTTACATCCCAGGAATCACTCCATGATCAACGTTGTCTTTTACCTCTCACTCACACCTGTTGGAAGTCCTTAAAATCAGTCGGTACCAACCTGCCTGCACCATTCTTCCCATCTGCATCTCAGAACTTCGTAAACCATTCAAGTGGAGACCCGCCCCCAACCCCCCGGTCGTGTGCCCATGTCACCCTGACTTCCAGTGGCCCCCTGCACAACAAGGAGGTACTGTCCATCCTGTGCCCTCTGCAGGGTCAGTGGTGGATCTGTTGTGGATGATTCAGGAGTGGATCACAGGGCTTTCTTCCTATTCTACCTAAGTCTTAACAGCACACCATCCTCATGTGGTGGCTACAGATGAGGTGCATTGGTCAGAAATCCAATCCAGATCTGCCTCCTGAATTCTTCCACAGAACCTCGGCTTCAGCCCCACCACCTCCTGCTCCCCCAGCATGGTGCCCACTGATGGACCTGGAGCTGCTTGTGGCCAACCAGTCTGTCTCATCATTTATCATCCTAGACAACACAGCAAATCAGATTTCCTCATGGTGGGCTGCCAGGAGCCGTGGGCACAGGGCGGCACTCAGCTTGCTCATAACACGGGTAGGAGGATGAGAGAGTGTGGGCATCACCATTGTTTCCCAGAGGACAGACAGACGGTAATGAGCGGCTGCGGAGACAAAGGCCCACTTCTGAGGAGAGTCACTGATGGCTCCTGGAACGTCTGTGTCAGTCTGTTCCATGTGGACACCCACAAAGGGGTACCACTGATACTCTAGATGAACTCGGGACAGTGGGAAGGGAGTGAGGATGCAGAACTGCCCTTAGGGGTCCCCAGGCTGTCATCTTTGTGGGAGCAGAGCACCCGGTATTTACAACTGCCCATAGGGACTATACGAGAGGTCAGCAGAGGACTGGCACACTGGTGTCCATGCCTCTGGGAGTGTCTATAACATCCTGTTTGTGCACCTCATCCAAGGAGCGTGCCAGGGCTAAAGGCTGACCACAGAGTCCATCCAGAGGGACCACTACCCACAGAGCCCACCTCTGCTGTGAGGACGGTCCGTGGACCAGCCTCGTCCCCATAGGAAAGGAGACCAGGAGCTCAAGATTAGTGAGAAGCTGGCTTCTAGGTCCATGTTGATAAGAAGTGCCAGCCCGTCCCTGTACAACTCTGCAGACCCCTGCAGACTACCCTTAGGAGTTAGACAGAAGGGAGCGAGGGGAGCGAGGGAGACCGACCATCTGCTGCCAGAACCTCGCTCCTCTCGGCAGGTCAGTGGGCAGCAGCGGATGAGGTGCAGAGAACATTCAGTGAGCTTTGCATGGTGACCATGTGTCTTGGCAGCTCAATCATTCAAAGACCAACATGTATATACAGTTTGAGGCGCTCTGGTTTTTATAAATTTCCTTTTGACACTTGAGTCTCTTCATTGTAATGATTCCAGTGTATGCTAGTTGCCTATAGCAGGAATGCATCTAATCCAGTTTCCACTTCATTAAAGGCACATCAGAAAACAGATGCGGGTCCTTCTTGGCGGGGGCGGTGGGTGAGAGGGGGCTGTGCGTTCTCTGAATGCCAGGGAGAAATAGGATTACTGTCTACTGACACACAGCCACGGGGAGGCCCTTACATGCCAAGAATAAGAGCTCATCTTGCCAAACACTCGTCTGGAAGACATAGAAGACGTAGGCCAGGCATGTCACAGATGACCAGTGACTCTTCAGTGGTCTCCAAAGTCCCTCCCAGTATCCAACATTGAGAGATGACAGTTTCCCTGGCCAATGTGCAGTCAGCTCTCTGGAGCAGACCAACCCCAGAGAGAAGAGGAACAGACAGGTCTGGGACACATGCTAGGACACCTGAGATGGAAGATCTTCTTGGCTGTCAGACTCTGGGAGAATATTCCAGAAGTTGGAGCTAATGTCATTCTCTGGCTCTGGGATGGTTGATGGGCTGGGCCCAAGAAGCCACACAGCTAGCTCTGGTCCTACCTCCTAAGTCTCCAAAAGTCCCTTATGGCTCAAAGTATCCCCAGAGGAAGCTTGTGGATGATGAGAAACAGCTGCAGCGTCTCAGTAGCTTTGATCATCCGGGTATTGAGCAGCTTCAAGAAAGGGTTATGCTCCTATCTCATGTGACACACACCCAAGTTGCTTGTTACGTCAATCAGATCTCCAGACACATTGTTTCAAATGAGAAAACGTAGAAAATCATCATGAAGCACACAACAAAGGGCATGGGTGACTTGAGGAATCTTTAACGCAGAGAGCAAAGGAAAGGACTAGAAAACTTCAAGGACTAAATGCCCCCTGCTGAAAGACCATTCTTCTTTGCAGGATGGTACAATTTCAGTGTTGTGAAATGCTAAGCTGAGGGGCCCATCGGCCCAATGAAAACATTACTTACAAATGAAACAGCCATAGCATGTACGTCTCAGAGTCTCACGGTGGTACAGCACCTGGTGAAGCATTGACTACTAGCTGAAGGTTGTTGGTCCAAACTCACCAGAGGCACCTTGGAAGATCTGGTGCTCTGCTTCTGAAAGGTCACAACCTTGAGAACCCTGTGGGGCGGTTCTACTCTGCACCCACAGCACGGGGCCCTCTGAGTCAGAATCCACCACCACCAACAACAACCATGGATCCTTCGCAGTTAAACCAAGGGAATGAACAGCAGAATCGCCCCCAAACTCACAGTTCTCTCTGACTCACACCCACCCTGAAGGGCAAGGCTGCCATCTTTATGGAAGCCGACTGGCACCTCCTTCTCCTGCAGAGCGGCTGTTAGTTTTGAACCAGTGATCATTGATTAGCAGCTGAGCGCTTAACACACTGCACCATTAAGGCTTCCAACCATTAGAAAGAAGGCCCATCACTTTAGTAGGAAATGTTGTGAACTGATTTATGTCCCCGTGAAAACTAAATGCCGAAAACCTAATCCCTGTGAACCTAGTTTGGAAATGCTGGTAAGTGTTCAATTGCAGTTGTTTTCGACTCATAGGGACTCTGTATAGGGTTTTGAGGAGCGACTGGTAGGTTTGAACTACTGACCTTATGGATTGTTGTCCAGCTCTTATCCTAGACTCCATGTGAAAGTAATTAAAGAGAGACATTCAGGAGAATTTCTTTTGACACTTATTTTAAGATCCATGCAGTAGCCGCAGCTTATCACAGGCATACACAACACAGCTGTGTAAACCTCCCCTGCAGAGGGGATCATGACAGTGTCTCCACCAGGGAGGTCACACTTGAGCTAAGAGCCCCACCCACTGATATGGAGCACACGCATTCTGAAGTACACTTTCAGGGACGCTTGATAATGACGGACACACTAAGAAATAGGAATAAATGTTCAGGCAAACCATTGTTCAAAGTGTTGTTTTGGGGAGCCTTTGAGTCGATTCCGACTCACAGGGTCCTTGTGCTAAACAGAACAAAACTTTGCCCAGTCCTGTGCCAACCTCACAATTGTTATGTTTGAGCCCATTGTTGCTGCCACTGTATCAAACCAGCTTATTGGGGTCTTCCTCTTTTTTGTGGACCCACCACTGTTCCAAGTATGATGTCCTTTTCCAGGTACTGGTCCCTCCAAAGAATATACCCAGAGTACTAGAGACAGAGTCTCATCATCCTAACTTCTGCACTTTTAAGGTGCATTTTGATTTTTGCAACAGATTTGTCTAATGCAATACGTCATTTGATTTCTTGACTGTGCTTCCATGAATGTTGATAGTGGGTCCAAGCAAAACGAAGGCTTTGACAACTTCAATTTTTTCTCCATTTATCTTGGCAAAGATGTCTCTCAACAAAGATTTGTTTGTTCTTCTGGTAAACTAGGCTACTTGTAATATTTTTCTCCAACACCATACTCAAATGCATCAATTCTTCTATGATCTTTT